CATTAATAAATTATACACGTATAATTATAATAAGGCAATAGAAAAAAATTCTTAAAAACTAATATCTATTTATATGTAGACAATTGTTTTTTGCATTAACTTATATAAAATTTAATCTTGAATGAATATTCGGGAATAGGATAGATACACTGAGAGAAAAGTATTAATATTTATGACTATAATTTCATGTTAAAATAATTACGATTAGAAAGTTCATTTTCATGCTTACTACTTTAAAAAAACATTATTGTTCAATTAATGTAATCGCAATTACAATGTATACAACTATTCTTTAAAATTAATTTACCATTTATGTGATAATAATAATAATAAAAAATTTATTTAAAAAAATTAAAGATTTCCAAATAGTATGTGCGACTTAGCATTAATAGCATAATTGACTATATTTGTTCGTTAAAATTATTATGAATATATTGTCCCAAAAAATGACTATAAGTTATAATTAAATTATAGCAGTTGTAACCATTTTTTTTTCTCAGTGTATTTAATGATACGAATACCATGAGTCAATTTGAGTAAGAGCAAATATAAAGATAAAAAGTAAATATAAATATTTTCATTATCAAAAGTATTTGTTTTTTATCATATATAATTATATTCTTCATCCGAGTATTTATTCACGATGTTCACATAATTTTTATCTTTTGATCTTTCTTCTTTTATTATACATAACGTATCTTCTATTTCATCATTACTACTTATTTCTAATTCATTTGTAATAAATAATGTTAGTCTTTCTTTATCCACCATTTTATAATTTTTTGTTATCTAACTAGTTTTTGTTCATACATCAAACTGCATTGACAAATGTTAGTGCAATATTTCTTAAACTCGTTCGGTTCATTCGATTGGTCCGAATACAAATTCAGCACTACACTGGGTACTCAGTTTTCATTTGCCGAATAGAGCAACTTAAACGCATTAATGTGCACAACTGAATGCGTAGTGTCGAAGAAGTTCACACTTAGTGCGCACTAGTGCACCGAATGTGTTATAAATTTTATATTTATTTGAAATATGAAATCAAAAAATTGTATAATATCGATTTGAATGCAATCAATGCATTATCGGATAAGACGATAAGCAATTAAGCTACTGAAAACGATTTATCGAAATATTAATTATGTGATCGATGATGTATTTATATCTAATGTGAACGCAAGAATAAACCAGCACCTGAATTTTATTGATAAATTTCATTTCACCGTCATTTTTTAATTGATTTCAGTTGACTTAGAGTGGCTTCAAATTAAAAAGAATCACTGTGATTAACTTAATCCATGCGACTGTATTATGTTAATGTGGATAATATTTGTAGTTTGTTCGGAGCACACATACATGCTTTATTCTTACAAATAAATTTATTCTTTAGAATTAATAATATATTTATTGGAATATTTTCTGATTTTATCATAAAAAATTGCTTTTGGAAAGCATATATCACTAGAAATGCGATTTGTAGAAAAATTAAAGTTAGTGAGATATATGTACAGAAAATAGTTTTCATTTTAAAGTCTTCGTAAAAAATTTATCCAAATGCATTACATTGCAATGTACTCTGGAACGTTTTATTGCAATATAACAAAAAGCGGACATCTTAATATTATTGGAATCTTGCAGCAATGATTCAGCAACGTTTCACAACCACCATGCAATATTGCAATGTTTCTGCAATCTTTCTTGTGCTGTATGGATTTATAAGCAAGTCTTCTTCCGCGGACCATAAAATTCAAGAAATTGATGACAAAGCAAAACAGATTGCATCAACAGCGAAGCATCCAGAATATGTCAGTTTATGCTGTTAGATTAATATCGTTTGCCGAATGGCCTCGGACAGTGTTACAAACTAAAGAAGAAATGGCAATTGCTGGTTTTTTTACACGAGAAAAGGCAGTGAAACATATGTTACCATCATGTACAGTGCGGTGAAGAAGTAAAAGATTGCAGCCAGATGATAATGTCCTTGGATAAACCATGCCAAATATTATAGTTCGAAGAGTATTTTGTGTATTAATTAAAGAGCTGAATTTTTTAAGAAATGTTAAAATAAGCATTTAATACATTAAATTAATAAATAAAATATATTTATTTTTATTAAAATTATACAATTTATATGTTATTTGTTAAATATTTTTAATATGTTAAATATTTTTGAATCTAAAAAATTCATAATAAATCAATTGAAAAATTATGAAATAATTGTTGTAGTTTAAACGTATTTATAATATCAATATCAAATTGTTTGATTTAAAAAAAAACATATCACCTCATGTAAGGCTATTGAATGATCTGAACGAAAAGAGTTTGAGAAAATAATGCATGAGAACGAAAAGATTGCCAGCAAAAGCTTTCAAAGCGCAGCCTGCAATTCTAAAAAAACCATACATTTACGATAACATAATATGTTACGATAACATAAAAAAGCTATTTTATGCAAAATTTGTTTAATAAAAACCTGTTTAATAGAAATAGCTTTTTTACCATGTGGATATGTGAAAAATGTGCCACAAATATATTATGGTATGTGCCATAAAATGATTAAAGACTCTTCAACGAGTGTATATTATCAGATAGCAACATGTTGCTACTAAGAATCTTATTCTTGAACAAATATCGTATACGAAAATTCGTATACAATCGATCACCAATCACAATCGAGAAACTGTCATGTTTCGTATGCGAAAATTATTTATATGTGCTCAAAAATAGTGCCCCAGAATTTGTTTAGCTCTTTTTAGCCTCTTCGGAGAGCTGAGACTCGCTTATGTTTTTGCATTTGGTAGGAGTTTGCATTCTTACTTCTTAGAGTTTGTCAACTCATACTCTAAGGGGACTTATAGTTTAACGCCGAATCCGAACGGCGAATGCGAAAAATCGCATATACGAGGCGCAAGTAGAATCGGACCCGAATTCACAAATCACGAGTCGATCGCACTGAGTGGCGAGCCAACGATTCACGATATAATAACTTGTATGCCTTTCAACAAACGATACAAGTGACACTATGTGACACAATCATTACATTCTTGTTATTTGCCATTGTTAAATAAAATGATATGATCAATGTGTCGAACTGCTTATTGGAAGACACATTTTGAGTACCAACAATTGTCAGCAGTTTGCCAATAACTTTAAAATCGTCATCATCAAAATTCATATTTCTGCCATCATGTTGCCATAATAATATGCAGCATTATACAATGCTGTCATATTGCCGATGACACAAGATAATATTGCTGCAGTTATCTTGCTGTTGAACTGCTGACAATACATATATATATTGTTGCTTACATGTTGCTACAATATCGATATATTCGAAATCGTGAAGACAAATCTATGACAAATTGACAGCATCATAAGCAATCATAGATTAGTGCGATTTTTGCTGAGACACGCTTTGTTATCTGAGTTATGTCATTCAGTTTTTTTTTGTTTAAAAGTATTTTCTAATGATAACTAAGGCCAGATAGCAAAGCGTGTCTCAACACAATCGGACAAATCTGTGATCCTATGGCTCACATGGCTCAGCATAGCTCGGTGTAGGTCATTATAGCTTGGAATTAAAGCCTCTATGTAACCGCGATTTTAATCTTTTTATATCAATTTCGAGACTGATCCTGTGACGAGACTGACGAGCCTAGGCGAGTCAAGAGGGACTACGATCAGCCATGCCGAGCCATTACCTTTATGATACTGGCAACTTGCTGTAGATTTGTTTTGAACGATTTTAAATATACCGACATTATAGCAATACGTTAGCCATAATAACATATATATATTGCCAGCAGTTTAATAGCAAAACAATTGCATCAATATTAGTATCGGCAATATAATAGCATTATTTATTATTCTGCATATTATTATAACAATAATATGACGATAATATGACGAATTTTGATGATAACGATTTTAAAATTGTCGACAAATTGCTTGCAAGTTGCTACCTAAAGTTGTCATACCATGAAGGCATAAAGCTAGTAACAAATACGGACTCTCGGTTGCTGCAATTCTAATTATAACAATATAGCAACACGTACGCATGTCCAAAAATGAGACATAAAACGTCTCAAAGACATTTTTTAAAAAGATGTTTTATATCTCAATTTAACTTATTTTTATAAAACTTTATTTTTATAAAATAAAAGTTTTTCTTATGTATTCTTATGTCTCAATTTTGAACTTTTTGTTGTTAGCAATACATACTCAACAAACAATATGCCAGTAACAAGATAAACACACGTTATAATTACTATCTGAGAACTCGTATTGACTGTAGTAAATATAAATTGGAATGAAAAAATGATTTTAGTTCTTAATTTTTATGTTAAATTTATATATTGAATATTAATATATATAAATATATTTATATCTATATTTATATATATTTATATTTATATTTATATCTATA